TTGTCGATTGGAATGGACGAAAAACTAAAGGCACCTCTTGAACTTCCGGCAATATGTCGTCCATTCCAATCGCAAAAGCACGATAAAGCGCGTTAAAGCAGCGATAAGACATAGCCGACCAATCACGCTTCGCCATTTAACCTATTTCAGCATTTTCCACGCGACAAACACAAAATTTCAACAATCTGGCTGCTGGTCCGTCCTCTCTGATTAACTCGATCCACTGTGCGTCGGAGGAGCGACGAACTTTCGTGTGCTGCCCACGCAAAGAAGGGCTCCGGGTTCCTCGTTCTAAAAAGTCCTATTCAAATGCAGATTCAAATCTAAGTGAGGTCTCCGACGGCGCTAACGTGAACTTTGATAACGGCGCTAAACGCCATTTCCTGAAAACGCGCGATAATTGGCGCGCGCGATTCTTTCGCGAGCGGGATACGGCCGTGCTAAGGAAGAACGCCGTATGAACCTTCAGGCATTCCCAAATTCCCTCCAGTAAAAACCGAATTAACTGAAAAAATCGTGATTATTTGTTTCCAAAATTTTCACACAATTTTGTACGCAATTTAATCTGAAATATCTGAAAGTGTAAAGGAAAAATATGCACAACTTTCCTAAGAAAAAAGGTTTTATTCGGGGAAATTTGGCAACTCTTCAATGTTCATACGGTGTTTTCCCTTAGCACGGCAGTACAGCCGTCCCTCCTTTCTGCGTGGCGCCTTTATCGCACCCGCCGACGCGGCGAGGCCAGGAGATGAGCCGAGGGAATGAGCTCATTAGCCCTCGGATAATTAATGCCGTTTTTATCAGACGCATTAATCGGGCGCTAGTGCCCTCCGCAGTGAAATCCGCCTCGCTTCGCGGGTAAATGAAACCCTGCTGCCCTTTCATTTGACAAACATTTTGCTCTTTCTCATCGTCACGGAGCTCCTCGCGTTTTCCGTTGTCGGGTCTCGAGAGTTAAAAGTCTACCGAGTCTCCGAAGAGAACGGACTGTTTCGTTTCTGATTTTATTTAAATGGAGCTGTTGCGAAGTGTCAGGGATATATTTTATATACAGGGTCGTAGTCATACACTGGAAAAAAACAAGACGACGGTTCTAACGTTTAGACGTTGGAGAGCGTTTACCGTAGCACCTCGCCAATACACTGGAAAAAAAACATATTGGATCTGGAGTCCAGACTCTGAAAAACGTCGACAAGAAAAAATACTCTTGATTCAATCGGATTTTTGCTTAGATCAAGAACCGAGCCTCTTAATTTGAGCGGATTTCCTTTTGATTTAAGCTTAAATCTGATTTAATCAAGAGTCCTTTTTCTTGTCAATGTTTTCAAGAGTCTGGACTCTAGATCCAACGTGTTTTTTTTTTTTCAAAGTGTATGTAAACGTGGTTTTGCGCGAACGGAAGAGGACGCTGCGAGACGTGTCGCTGATGTGCGTGTGTGACGTGGTATATATGATGCTATGTTGAGGATCTCCTTGAACTTCCCTCAATCACAATGTAAACCACAGTGGGTCTCCTAAGGAAGGAAAAACGCCGTATGAGCCGTCAGGTGTTGCCAAATTCCTTTTGAGAAATCACTAATTATCTTCAATAAATTTGTGCATATTTGTCTTCCAATTTCCCAGATAATTTTGTTTGTAATTTGATCTCAAAATTCTGAAAATTTCAAGGGAGAATCTTGATAATTTTCCTTGAAAAATAAACTTTATACCGGAGGAAACTTGGCAACTCTCGAATGCTCAAACGACGTTCTCCCATACTGCCGTGCTAGGGAAGAACGCCGTATGAACATTCGAGCGTTGCCAAATTTACTTCGATAAAATGTTTATTTTTGAGGGAAGTTATGGATATTTTTCCTTGAAATTCTCAGAAACTTCACACTAAATTGCAAACAAAACTGTCTTTGAAATTTGAAGGAAAATATTCATAAGTTTACTGGGAAATTCGTGTTTTATCAAAGGTAATTTGGCAACGCCTGAAGGCTCATACGACGTTTAACTTAGCACGGCAAAATTGGGAACGACTATAAATTCGACCCTCAGACTTCTTCAAGAATGGTGTTTTTGGAAAAATTTCTACGAACTTAAATATGGATTCCCCTCCCCACAGACAAAGTTTCATGCATTACAGTCGCCAAGCTGGGTGTGATAGTGAATTGAATCGGCTGTTTATTTTTGCAGCCATTTAAGGATCTAAGTTGCAATCTTAATGAGCTTAGCCAACCTTGCAGTGGCGTAGCGTGAATGATCGATTATCGATATTTCCCCATGTGAAGCTGTACTGAAGAATCGATTATTAAGGTGCTCGTTTCGAACACCCTACATATCGATCCTTGTCCATAGGTTTAAATGGTACATCAATCGATGTATCGCAAAGCACGCCACGCCACTGTGACCTTGATCCAGAAAGAAAGCATCCGGGAAGTTGAACTAAGGTGAAACTTAAATGCCGACTTTATCCAATTGAATCGCAGCGCTCAAACAGGGGTACTCAACTTTATTTGCCACACTCGGCTAAGTGTTTCTCAATATTTCAATGTCACAGAGCCTTTTATGGTATCAATAACTCTGTTTCGGCATTCAATAACTCTTGAAATCACTAAAGGCATTCCGGCTACATTGGCAGCATTGCACTTGCACAAAATGCATGTATTTCGATGGCCTATTCGCGGAACCACGTAAATTTATTGCGGTGTTTCAAATTTTCGCTCCAATTGTATTTTTTTCGGAAAGAATCTAGTTAACTTTAAAGCTTTAAACTGAATATTTTGTTGACAGAGAAGAAAAATTAAGGAAGTTTTCACAAAACCATGTTGACTTGCTTTCGAAAAAAATGAAGTATGGCAGGAGGTCAGCAACGCCGCATACGGAGGTTAATGGTTTCGCGCTCAGGCCATCGATTTATAAGGTGATTTTTTAACTTTTTGGGGTCAAGAGCTGTCCGGTATTTGGAACTCTTTTGTTCCAATTTCTCCCACTCCATGACCATCAAAAGTTCCAGGATTCTTTTTAGATTTCCCCAAAAGTTCCTGAAAGTGCAAAAGATTCGGAGCATTTTAAAAGTTCCGGGAAAAATTCAAGAAAATCTCAAAAGTTCCAAAAATCGGTACTAGTTCCGGGAAATATTCAAGAAAATCTCAAAAGTTCCTAAAATCGGCACTAGTTTCGGGAAAAATTCAAGAAAATCTCAAAAGTCCTAAAAATCGGTACTAGTTCCGGGAAAAAGTCAAGAAAATCTCAAAAGTTCCAAAAATCGGTACCAGTTCCGGGAAAAATTCAAGAAAATCTCAAAAGTTCCCAAAAGCGTTACTAGTTCCGGGAAAAATTCAAGAAAATCTCCAAAGTTCCAAAAATCGATACTAGTTCCGGGAAAAAGTTAAGAAAATCTCAAAAGTTCCAAAAATCGGTACTAGTTCCGGGAAATATTCAAGAAAATCTCAAAAGTTCCGAAAATCGGTACTAGTTTCGGGAAAAATTCAAGAAAATCTCAAAAGTTCCAAAAATCGGTACTAGTTCCGGGAAAAATTAAAGAAAATCTCAAAAGTTCCACAAATCGGTACTAGTTCCGGAAAATGGGAACACAGGTTTCGTTAAACTCGGTCCATCAACGCCTCAAAGTCGCGTCGTGTTCTCGACGGGGCGAAGTGGGTTCCTCGCAGGGTCTGGGTCGAAGCGATTGACACATGACGCGGCGAGACGATCGGAGGGATTGTTGTGGCAACCCAGTGTCTCGTCGCGTTCGTCTGTATTGACTTTATTATTCCACATTTACCCTCTAGGCCAGCTCTAGGTCAGGGTTGGGCGCCAAGGTCACGGTGGCCGCTTCAAAAGGTGTGCTCCCGCCTTTCTGGGTCTTCCGGAAAACGAGCGAGGCCCAACTTGATATGCATGTGCTTTCCATGCAAATACTTCGCGCCGCGCTCCATTCGGACCAAACGGAACTATGTGCATTGAAACGTGAGCCCCGAGACCCGTAAGAATATATGCATAACAGGGGTCACGTCATAATGCACATAGTTCCGTTTGGTAGTAATACGTCCGTTTCGGGCACAATTTCAAAGTCGCCGGTTGCTCTCCTGAATACCGTACCCTGTCAACAATAAAAAAACAATTTAAAAAGCACTGGAAAAAGATAACACATTGGATCTAGAGTCCAGACTCTTGAAAAAATTTACAAGAAAAAGGACTCTTGATTCAATCAGATTTAAGCTTAAATCAAAAGGAAATCCGCTCAAATTAAGAGGCTTGGTTCTTGATTTAAGCGAAAATCCGATTGAATCAAGAGTATTGTTTCTTGTCTATGTTTTTAAGAGTCCGGACTCTAGATCCAATGTGTTTTTTTCTAGTGAGAGGGTAAGAAAGCTAACATTTCACGAATAAAACCAGAACGTTTCGGATGGAAATTCAGCCTCCCACAGTTGTATAAAATATTGAAAAGAAAAATGGTAAACATCTAAAATAGTACCTGGCTGTACCGGGTACACGCCTGGTAGGTGTTGCTATCCATCGGCTGAAGCTTAAAGCGCTGGATAGGTTTCACAGATGCTCGTTTCCGGTGTTCTTGTTGAGTGTGTTATCAAAATTTAGATTTCCACCATTTTTCTCTTTACTATTTTATCCAACTAAGGAAGGCTGAGGTTTCAGCCGGAACGTTTTGGTTTTTTAAAAAGTGGGATGCGCATCCTCCCAAAAATGACCGAACCTAAAATATTGCTCGGCTTGAGAAATTTAGGAAAAATGTTAAAATTGTCCTTTTTTTGATGCTATGTCAAGAGTCTCTCGAAACGACCCTTAATCCGAATGTAAGCCATATGTATGGCAGCTCCTCGGGAAAGAAACTGTCCCAAAACAACTTAAATACGGCTGCAATGCGCCGAGGCCTAGGTCAACAATTTGACAGTTGATATCGGTTGTAATTACTATCACAGCAAAAGATACCGCCACCTGGCAACGATGCACCGTTGCGATAACGATAATGACCGCTAATTGTTTGTTTTCGATAGCGCCATGCTCCGCTGTAATCTCAGCGCGCACTCTGCCAGTGTAACGTGAATCGAGGCCGATCGTTTGGATTTCGTGACCGGCTGGAAAAATCCTTTTTCGGAAATACTTCCGGGCCGAACATTCGAAAGTCAGATCCGCGGTCGGAAATGGAGTGAAGTTGGAGTGCGCGAGTGGGAAGTTGAAGTTCTGCCATGAACATGTTGAGCGGGTCGATGAACATGTTGAGCGGTTCGATGAACAAGTTGAACGGGTCCAACACCTCGCTCAACAAGATATGCCAGTCGGTGAAGCAGCGCATGAATGGGGCCACCCCTCTCATCCTCACTCCCATGACCGAAGGTGAGTGTAGTTTCTATAATCTAAAAAAATTGTGGAATCAACCCTGAAACTGGTAAAAACCACGGCAATGTGTTATTTTTAGTATCACATTTTTTACGGTGACCTGACCGCTCACCGTGGAGAAAAATCAAATTACATTTTTATCAACAGTCCTTACAGGGTGTCAACAAGTCCGGAAAGACCGGAAATAGTACCGATTTTTTAAGGGTGGTCCGGAAGTACTGACAAAGTGCGGACATTTCGCAAGAGGGTCCCGAATGTTTTACATTTCTCTGTTATTTTTGTCGCAATTTGAGCGGGAAATTCAAATTCTTGGAATTTTTGGCGACAAACTTCTACGAAGCTCTCAACGTGATTTTGGATGTGATAGACATTTTTTTAAATCCAACTTTTACATTGTGTCCGGATCGAACTTCCATGGATATTTTTGCCGAAAATTAACCTTTGAGTGTGATTATCATTCAGTTCTCGGACGATAAATGTGTTGCTCTGGGTCGGGTTTGTTTACACTCGGCCAACTTTAAGCTCCATGATAGCCTAAAACTGATGAACCAATCAGAGAGCGGCACAGAGATTGCAATGCTCTCCCGTATTCCTCACCTCTCTTAATTTAAAAATCTAAATTTTTGTATATACTCCCATTTTCAAAATTATCTGCAAAGTCGTTAATAGCCTGGGACGCTGAATGTCTTAAAATTATACTAACTAAGTAACTAACTGCATCAGTGGTACCATCGTGTTTCTCGCGAAATTTTACACAAGAATCGGTGCTTAAACTGCAAATTCCTGAGTACATAAGTAAGAGAACCATTCACAATGACCACCGGAAAAACAACGATCCCCTTGTCTCCGTGGCTCGGGATAAAAAATGAAGTATTCTCAGGTGAATAAAAAACGAAGTATTCGAGACATTGTTCGATTCCCAACTCTCACGACCCCTGCTCCCATTGGAGCGAAATTGCGCGGGAACGGAGGGCAATGGTGCCGCCAAATCGAGGGTAGAGCTCATTTTTCGAGATTGAAGTCATCTCAACATTTACGACCCGTGCAAACGCGGAGCTGCAGGCGTCACTTGAATTTTAAACGAAAATTTAGCGCTCAGAGGCGAACGGAGAATGATTACACGGGGCCCCCGCAGCACAGGTAATATCGTTTGCCCGGCGCCATCGTAATAGAACGGCGCACGATTGTAATTTGAAGACGCGGACATCTTGTTGGCCGCTGTTTCAATTCCTTCCCGCACTGCCGTGCTGAGGAGAAACGCCTTATGAGCCTTCGAATGTTGCGAACTTTCCTCTCAGAAAATATCAATTTTTGCAGAAAGTTGTGAACATTTTATACCTTGAAATTCTCGGACTTTTTAGATCAAATTTAGAAAAAAATCCTTTAAAAAATCAGGGGAGAAATTTTCACGAAATTTCTCGAATATTCGTTGTTTTTCGAAGGAAATTTGGCAATGCCTGGTGGCTCATACGGCATTCTTTCTTAGCATGGCAGTGTACCGTCGCGTCGGATGTTCACCACTCGGGCCCGGTTTATTGCGGTGAAAATCGACAGAAATTTTTGGACTCATCGTTTGCAACCTCCGCAAATTTGATTGTTCCAGGACAGTAAATGCAAACATTTTAGAATCCTCTGTCTCAGATGATGAGGACAGGATAGACATCACTACACTTTTTGTTTCTTTCGATATATCACCATGGAATCCTCCCGTCGGCCTCACTCCTTTCGATAAGCATGGATTAATCCGGAATCGGCCCAACACTGCATCTACTTAATGGAGATGTTGCATGTGTGAGGGATTTGCAATTTGACTGTTGATTCTTATGTAAAAGTTCGCGAGAAACACGATGGTGCCACTGGTTTTCTCTGAAATCAACTCCCAAGCTCAAAAAAAGCTCTCAAGTTGAGGCCAAAATGGAAGGGATATCCCACCCTACCCTGAAAGTCCACCATTACATCAAGACAAATTCTCCATGCAAAGATAGGGAACAAATACATTGACAGGGCTGCCACTTTATTTGGGGACGCCAAAACTGAAAACACGGCAACCCTGCTAATATATTTGCTCCCTATCTTTGCATGGAGAATTTGTTTTGATGTAGAGGTAGACTCTCAGGATAGCGTGGGATATCCCCTCCATTTTGGCCTCAACTTGAGAGCTTTTTTTGAGCTTGGGAGTTAATTTCAGAGAAAACCAGTGGCACCATCGTGTTTCTCGCGAACTTTTACAAAAGATTCAACAGTCAAATCGCAAATTCCTCACACATGCAACATCTGCATTGTAGGTCATTCATGATTTACCAAATTTGTCACTGTGCACGGGATGACACTTTGTCCGAAATGGTTTCATTTCGACACAAGGCAGGGGAGATAACAACAGTTGATCAAAATTGCCTCCGGTGTTCCGATTCGGAATTAAGCGAGTTGGAATCGTTCACCCGAGCGTAATAAACTGTTCGTACTTCCGTTTAAGTGACCTACATGATAGATATGAGCTGGATACACATCAATTCTACGAATCAATATCGCGTAATCAAATCTTTACTCTTGCCCCCCTGGCCGGAGTGTTTGCTCTCCGTAATTCACGGTCCTGAGAATTGTCCGATTGGAATGTATGTAACAAAATGTAACTAGCTTTATCGCGTCATGAAGTCTGCTGTTTGTAGCGTGTAAACATTTGATGTCATAGGTAACATCAAAGCATACCGCGTTGTGAGACTGCCCGCAGAAAATTTATAATTCACATTTTCCTGAATCAGAAACTTCCTTGTAACTTTGAAATCAATACCGTAAAATTATAACTTTCGCGCGTTGAAATGAATGAGCCAAAAATTAATCAGTTTCGAACGGACAGTGGCTAAAGCGGTGGTGGAGAGGAAAACTGATTAAGGTCTGGAGAGCAGAAAATGATATTTTCTTTGAAAGAGTCACTTGAACATTCAACGTCGCGTGATTTTATAATCGTATTAAAGGCGACTTTATATGTACTTTTGTATGCAACTTCATTGCGGATGGAATTTGGACGCATCTGAGGAATTTGAAATTATATAAAGTGATCCTTCAAAAATTTTCCGGAAAAAATTACTTTGTTTTTAAATTACATCAATGTATAATTCTCTCGTAGAAATGTATAAATACAATTTTAAAGGAAATTAACTTTGCAGTTCTGTTCTCAGGAGCGATTTAAATCTGTTTTTACCTAAAAAAAATATTAAAATACAATTTTAAAGTTAACGGAAATGTCACTCCTTTATTTTTCTTTATTGGTTTTTTTTTTACATTTATATTTTAAACCAATATTTCCTCAGAATGTCCTCATGGCGTCCTTTTAGACGAAGAAGCAGGGACACCACGAAAACGGAACAACTAAGACACAACGCGAAAGTTGCGTCGGAAACTATCCCCAATATACGGAGATTAAAGAGGACCACCTTATGAGCTTTCCGACGCTGCCGAATTTCCTCCGTCAGAATACGATTATCTTAGGAGATCTGGGAATATCTCCTCCCAATTTTTCAGGGAATTTTTTTCGCAGTTAGATCTAAATTATCTAAAAATATCGAGAGAATATCCAACTCTCCTTGGAAAAAAAAAACGTTTATTAGAGGAAAATTTGCAGCTCTGAAATGCTCATACGGCGTTTTTCCTTATTGGCTCGGCAGTCTTACCCGGTAACCACCGATCATATTGCTCGTTCTTTGATGCAAGGTACAGTGCACAAAATTGAACCGGAAATTTGCATTATTCATGAGGAATAAGCGCGAAACAGACCGGTAAGATTATTCCGTCACGTTACTCCTGACATCTCCTGGAAGGTTGCACCTTCTGACGTTTGAACTCCGTCGCCGAATGAGGTGCCAGGAGAATTTGCGGCAAGCGTTCGATTACCGGCTGGGGGCAGAATTTCACTTGAGGGATGAGACAGATATCTTCCGAAGGTGAAATACTCCAACTGATTCCACACTCAAACCAGCCTTTACTCTGCGTTGGCAAAGGATAGAAAACTATGGGTGAAACTAGAAGGTGGAGGGCTTCATTTTCGCTAGAAATGAGGGGTGATATAAACTATATATCGACGGTGAAACTACCAAACCACGTATCTCGTTTGCGGTGTTTAAAAATCTACGCTCACATTTTAATGTTTTGAAGTAGACCAAATCAATATCATTCCTTAAAATTTTCACAGAATTTTCTCCGCACAAAGAGGAAAAATCACAGAAATTTTCAAGACTGGACGTTAAGTAGTTTTTCATTTAAAAAATAAAGTATGACAGGAAGTCTGCGACGTCCCAAACCGAGATACGTGGTTTGGTAGTTTCACCGTCGATATAGGGTCTATATATACTTACATTTCAGCTGAAGACACCTAATGCTAATTAATTAAATATTATTTGCAAGGTTACGGCTCTTTAAAATAATTTATATTTTGCCTTGCTCTTTGCAAACATGTTTGTATTTTTTCCATGTATTAAATTTAAAGTACTGCGATTTCCCACGAATCATTGACTTTGATTTAAAACTTTTCAATGTGTCTTCCGCGAGCCACGATCAAAACTTTCTCAAGCTCGTGCTGAAATTTTCACCGGACTTGGTGGCTCATCGATGGTATATTCAACGTTCCGCAAAATTGACTCTCAACTTTTTGCATCAGTTTTTCCTCTCGGCTCTCCTCTCCTCGTCGGTACCACAAAATTGCCAACGAAACCGTTCCCTTTTGACGAGCGCTTCGAACTGGGTCGATGGAATTTCTGGACGGACCTCGAGTGAAATCATCTCGCAAAATGCAGGCGAACAATGGAAAGCCGAGTTGGAAAACTGAAACGCTTGCCGTTGGGATGTGATTAAGGCAAGGAAACTCGGTTAGCCCGCCAAGTTCGTAACTTGGTTAATTATCCCGGACGGAGTGACCACCACGTTGTCATATCGGGCTCAAAATTGTGGATTTTACAGCTTATGGCAGTGCTGCAGTGGTAAATCAGGCTACTCTGGCCGTCCGG